GTCATTTGAATCAAACAGTAGCAATCCAGGAGATAGTGGAAACAAAGCAGTAGAAAATAGTGGATATAAGCTATTCTTTTTTTTTTTTTTTTTTTGAGACGGAGTCTCGCTCTGTTGCCCAGGCTGGAGTACAGTGGCTCGATCTCGGCTCACTGCAAGCTCCGCCTCCCAGGTTCACGCCATTCTCCTGCCTGAGCCTCCCGATTAGCTGGGACTGCAGGTGCTTGCCACCATACCCGGCTAATTTTTTGTATTTTTTAGTAGAGATGGTGTTTCACCGTGTTAGCCAGGGTGGTCTCGGTCTCCTGACTTCATGATCCACCAGCCTCAGCTTCCCAAAGAGCTAGGATTACAGGCGTGAGCCACTGTGCCTGGCCGGATATAAGCTATTCATAAGAATTTGGCTGCATAAGGGAAGGATATATGGGACAGTTAGAGGTGGTTGCAGGGTCAGGAAATAAGTCTTTGAAGGTAGAAAAGAATTGAACATGGTAACAGACTGAAGGAAAGGAGAAAGTTTAAAGATATTGGTAGCAGTGAGCGTAATGCCACAAAGAAGGTGGGATCAAGGGTAAATCAGAGTAGAGATTGATCTTGAATGACAGAAGGAATGGCTGTTGAGATAGGAGGGCAGAATGGATGTAGAGAAGTTTATGTGCCCCAAAGGTGATGGAGTTCAAGTTGTAATTTTCTTAAATGAGTCATCTGCTAAGAGTGGCAGGAGCAGAGATTGAAAAGTAGTTAAGGATGAGAATTATCAAGTAGAGAGGTATCTTAACAAGGCTAAACACTTTCTGAAATGAGGGTCCAACTAAGATTTGTGACTATCACTTTGCAGTACCCCAGTCTGTACAGTTGTATGATTTCCACCAGCAATGTTCAGCACTTCAGGTTGGATGTGGAGAAGGGTTTCTGATTTTGCCAGATGGGTGGAAAAGAGTTCCAGGATACAAATTATTTGATGGTGCTCATGAGACACTAATTTCATGAGAGAAGGAGGAGAGTTCTTAACCACCCTTGTTAGGGTATCACTAGTGACTTCTTGGATGGGGACTCCATTGGATATTTCAGTTTTCATCTTACTTGAATTTCCAACTGTAAATGGCATGGCTTGTTCCTGCCTTCTCTTGGCATCTCTGACATACACTCCTGGTTTTTTTCTTTGCTTTCTGGGCCTTAATTTTCATTCTCTCATACTAGATTTTCCTCTTCTGTGTGATCTGTATGTATTGATGTTCCTCAGGACAATCTTGGGCACTATTCTCTTTTTCTCCATATTCTCTCTCTAGATAAGTATCTTCATAACTATTTTATATGACCTACAATAGGACATACATTTTTATATTGTAGCCTAGTAAACACATATGTGTAAATTTATGTAAATATAGCTGAAACAAAAATTTACTGAAACAATGTTTACCCTTCGTATGTTCAGTGAACTCTTTTTGTTTAAATTTTATTTCACATTTTAGTATCTTGGTCATAACCTGCAAAATTGTTTTCAGAACTCACTAATGGATGTGACCAACAATTTGAAAACTACTACTCTAAATTATGAGACAATTTTAAATAATATTATATTCTGATGAATAAAGGAGAGGGCTGATAAACTGGGAGAAAATGAGTAAATTAAGGAAATGGTTTAAAGGCAGGTGTAGCAGGAATGAAGATGAGAAAAGGGTAGAAGAAGACCCAAGAATAGAGTATTTCAATTAAGATGTTTGAGATGAAGCAATTCCAGATGATGACAAGCTCCATGTATTGCCGTGGCTATCAATGACTGAAATGGAGTTAAGATCATTGCTAAAGTTGAGATCAGGGAACTGTGAAGCTGCAATGTTAGGTATTGGTTCTAGTATCCAAATGGAAGTCATCCAGGATGATGGTGAGATTGGAATAGAGAAGCTGTGAACTAGGTACAAAAGACTTTAGTAAAGATAGAGGAGAGATTAGGAAGTCACAAATTACCAGCAACCAGGAAAGATCAAGGCAATATTGTTGCATTCACAGATCCTCAGAGGAAGTGAATCTTGTTTATTTTTTTTTTAATTTTTTTTTTTTTTCAGGGATGGAGTCTCGCTCTGTCACCCAGGCTGGAGTGCAGTAGTGCAATCTCAGCTCACTGCAAACTCCATTTTCTGGGTTCACACCATTCTCCTGCCTCAGCCTCCCGAGTAGCTGGGACTACAGGCGCCCACCCCTACGCCCAGCTAATTTTTTGTATTTTTAGTAGAGACAGGGTTTCACTGTGTTAGCCAGGATGGTCTTGATCTCTCGACCTCGTGATCCACCTTCCTTGGCCTGCCAAAGTGCTGGGATTACAGGTGTGAGCCACTGCGCCTGGCCTCTTGTTTATTTTTTTAAAGGTATGGAAGAATATTTTGAAAGTGACATTTGGGAGCAAGAAAAGTGCCACCTCCTTTGCTTTAAAAGAGGACAGGAAGCTAAAACAAATGGACTACTGAAAGTGTTACTCTCAGTGGAAGCCAAGATTCTGTTAAAGTTAAGAAAATAGAAAGTATTTGTAACAAGATTCAGAATATAAGAGAGTTAATTGTGGACCAGAAAATGCAGAGAAACGATTAAGAGCAAAGAAAGATGTTGGCTGTGACAGGAGAGAAAACTTACCAGAGTATAGGATGAGAATACTAAAGAAATAGATAACTACAGGGGCTTGCATTTTGGTAAGATAATAGAAAGATGAGGAAGGAATGTTGCAAGAAACAATCTCATAGTTCTAAATGGAGCACAATGTCAAATTTGAACAAAGTTAACCTTGTAGTGGTACACAGAATGGCAGCTTGCAAAAACAATTGTGAATTAAATGTAAGTGTATGATGGGTCGTTATTGTCTTGCTAGAGAAGACATCAAAGGATTGAACTGTTTATTGCTTCCAAACAGTGATTAAAGTAAAGAAACAATGGCCAGCAATCACAAATCTTCAGCAGCTCGCCCTGTTTCAAGAGGTGGAGTTGGATTAACAGGAAGGCCTCCTTCTGGGATACGACCCCTATCAGGAAATATTCGAGTGGCAACTGCAGTAAGTTTGAAACAAATCTATTTACTTTGGGAGGCCAAGGTGGGAGGACCACTTGAGTCCAGGAGACTGGGGCTTCAGTGAACTAAGATCATGCCACTGCACCCCAGTTTGTGAGTTTTTGACTCTTTCCACCCCAAAAAATCTGTTGAATGCTTGTGCATATATTGTGGTAGAAGTTGGAAATCCCCTCTGTAATAAGAGATTCTACTTTGTTGTTTCTTTATTTCATAAGCATATTATTAAACATGTTTGGGTTTTTTTTTGGAAAGCATCTGGAAATGTAAATGTGGAAGAATGTTTGAAAGACACTCTGGGAAGAAGATGCCTGCTCCTGCAGATACTCAATTTAAAGCTGCAATAATTTTAGTTGAATAGTGTATTGGGGCCAGAATAAAATGAAATGAATAGACCAGAAATAGAATCAAGCATATAAGAATTTAATGATTAATGTGGTGTTTCAGATTAGTTGCCAAAACATGGAGCATTCAATAGAACATTCCAATAATTATTAAACCATTTGTTTGATAGTATTTTTAATCCTCTCTTATACCTTTTGTCAGAATTCTACATAGTTTAGAAACTTGGTATTTCAAAAATGAAACTATAAATGTAGTAGAGGAAAATGCTGGCAAGTATTTTGTATACACTTGATATGGACTAGGCTTTTCTAAAAATGACAGAAATAACAAGTACTGAAAAGGAAAGCATTTTTATTATATATCTGAATTTACAAAAAATAAAACACCATAAAAATTAAAAGAGAAATGACACCTGGTAAAAACATTTATAATATATATACCATATATAGGATCAGAATCTCAAAAAGTAAACTTTACTTCTTTTTTGAGACAAGAGTCTTGCTCTGTCACCCAGGCTGGAGTGCAGTGGCATGATCTCGGCTCACTTTAAGTTCTACCTCCTGGGTTCACGCCATCCTCCTGCCTCAGCCTCCCAAGTAGCTGGGACTATGGGCACCTGCCACCACACCTGGCTAATTTTTTGTATTTTTAGTAGAGACGGTGTTTCACCGTGTTAGTCAGGATGGTCTTGATCTTCTAATCTTGTGATCCTTCCACCTTGGCCTCCCAAAGTGCTAGGATTACAGGCGTGAGCCACCGTGCCCGACCAACTCTGCTAATTTTTAAGTGCTCTTTCTGTATTAAGACTACAAGCCTTATGTCCAATCAAAATTTCATGACATTTCTTTTGAGGCTGGGGTAATATTATAAAACTATTATAAAACTCATCTAGAATAATACAAAAATAAGAAAAAGTACAATACTCTAACGTAAAATATATTATAGACAATGAGTGAAACAATATTCTGATTGCCACAGTACCTGGAAATAAACTCTAGTGAATGTTAAAGAATTTAATATAGGAGAGTGTGTCATAAATAGTGAATCAATAAGAGAAACACAGCATATGAGGAAAAGTTAGATGAAGTTTATAAGTTGATATTCTAAGCAGGATATCCTGTAAAGATAATTATTACATTTTCATTATCATTATAATGTAAAAATTGGGAAACAGGCAACGGCCTGATGTTGGTGGAGGGAAGCAGGCCTAGGCTTGGTGAGGAGGCAAGGTTCTGAGGGGACAGGCTGACAAGGAGGACCAGAGGCCCCCGGAGGAGCACGGAAGGAGAAGATCTGCCTGTGGGTTTCCATTGCCCAGCTCCTGCCCACACTCCCGCCTGCTGCCCTGACCAGAGTCAGCATGCCTCTTGAGCAGAGGAGTCAACACTACAAGCCTGAAGAACGCCTTGAAGCCCGAGGAGAGGCCCTGGGCCTGGTGGGTGCGCAGGCTTCTGCTACTGAGGAGCAGGAGACTCCCTCCTCCTCTTCTACTGTAGTGGAAGTCACCCGGGGGGAGGTGCCTGCTGCTGAGTCACTGGGTCCTCCCCAGAGTCCTCCACCCTTCCCACTACCATCAGCTACACTCTCTGGAGCCAATCTGATGAGGACTCCAGCAACCAAGAAGAGGAGGGGCCAAGCGCCTTTTCTGACCTGGAGTCCAGCTTCCAAGCAGCACTCAGTAGGAAAGTGGCTGAGTTGGTTCATTTTCTGCTCCTTAAGTATTGAGCCAGGGAGCCAGTCACAAAGGCAGAAATGCTGGAGAGTGTCATGAGAAATTGCCAGTTCTTCTTTCCTGTGATCTTCAGCAAAGCCTCTGATTCCTTGCAGCTGGTCTTTGGCATCGAGCTGATGGAAGTGGACCCAATTGGCCACTTGTACATCTTTGTCACCTGCCTGGGCCTCTCCTACGATGGCCTGCTGGGTGACAATCAGATCATGCCCAAGACAGGCCTTCTGATAATCCTCCTGGCCATCACAAAAGAGGGCGACTGCGCCCCTGAGGAGAAAATCTGGGAGGAGCTGAGTGTGTTGGAGGTGTTTGAGGGGAGGGAGCACAGTATCTTCACGGATCCCAGGAAGCTGCTCACCCAAGATTTTGTGCAAGAAAACTACCTGGAGTACTGGCAGATGCCCAGCAGTGATCCTGCATGCTACGAGTTCCTGTGGGGTCCAAGGGCCCTCGTTGAAACCAGCCATGTGAAAGTCCTGTACCATATGCTAAAAATCAGTGGAGGACCTCACTTTTCCTACTCACCCCTGCATGAATGGGCTTTGAGAGACGGGGAAGAGTGAGCCCGAGCACGCGTTGCGCCAGGGCCAGTGGGAGGGGTCTGGGCCAATGCACCTTCCAGGGCCCCATCCATTAGCTTCCACTGCCTTGTGTGACATGAGGCCCATTCTTCACTCTTTGAAGAGAGCAGTCAGCATTCTCAGTTTTGGGTTTCTGTTGTATTGGATGACTTGGAGATTTATCTTTGTTTCCTATTGGAATTGTTCAAATGTTCCTTTTAACAGATGGTTGAATGAACTTCAGCATCCAAGTTTGTGAATTGCAGTAGTCACACATAGTGTATTTATATAGTTTAGGAGTAAAAGTCTTGTTTTTTATTCAGATTGGGAAATCCATTCCATTTTGTGAATTGTGACTTAATTACAGCAGTGGGAAAAGTATTTGCTTAAAATTGTGAGCGAATTAGCAATAACACACATGAGATAAAGAACTCAAGACATTAAAAGATAGTTAATTCTTGCCTTATACCTCAGTCTATTCTGTAAAATCAAACAGATATGCATACCTGAATTTCCTTGGCTTCTTTGAGAATGCAAGAGAAATTAAATCTGAATAAATAATTTAAAAAAAAATTGGGAAACAACCTAAAAGACCTTACAACAGGTGAATCTTAAACAAATAATGATATGTATATCCCTATAATAGGCTATTAGATAGTCATTACAAACTACTTTCAAGATATTTCAGAAAATAATATACTTTAACGAAAGTTTAAAAGCAGTGTTGTATCAATTTAACATAGAAACATACATTTATACATACATAGAAATGAAATGAAAATAAATGAATAGACAGAAATGTCCACAAATTTATCTGATGTTCACACAGGTAATTTCAACTAACTGAGAACTTGCAGAGGGCCAATAGTCAAGCTCCTACAGTAGGCTAACTGCAAACTACAGATAATGATAGGTCCTGTGGTTAACTCGTAAGAAAAGCAGCATTTTTGGAGGGAATGATTTTGTTAAAGTCAGATTTTCCTAAAGTTTTCAGATTTTTTTCTAGAGTTTCAGGTAATAATGTTAGGACATCGTCATCAACTTAGACCGACATAATTTTTCTAAAATCTTCATACATAGGATAGTAAGGGTATCTTTTTCTTTTATTCCAGTAAAAATTGATAATTAAATATTTATAAAAAGAATCTGACATTTATTGGCCACCTACTATTTGCCAGGCACTTTATCTATTTATTTGTAAAATTTTTAAAATTTGTATATATTTATGCAGATGTCTTACATGCATATATTGTGTAATGGTGAAGTGTGGGCTTTTAGTGTACCCATCACCTGAATAGTGAACACTGTACCAAGTAGGTAGTTTTGCATCCCTCACCTTCCTCCCACCCATCTTTTGTAATCTTCAGAGTCTATTGTCTCACTCTGTATGTCCATATGTACCCATTGTTTAACTCCCACTTGTAAGTGACAACATGCGGTATTTGACTTTCTCTTTCTGGGTTGTTTCACTTAGGATCATGGCCTCTGGTTCCATCCATATTGTTGAAAAAGACATGATTTCATTCTTTATTATGGCCGAGTAGTGTTTCATAGTATGTGTGTGTATATATATATGTGTGTGTATATGTGTGTGTGTGTGTATGTGTGTGTGTGCGACCACATTTTCTTTACGTAGCCCTCCATCTCCGTTGATGGACACTTAGGTTTTTTTTTCATATATTTGCTGTTGTGGAAAAGTTGTGTGATAAACATAGGAATGCAGGTATCTTTTTGAAATAGTGATTTCTTTCCTTTTGCAGTGGGATTGCTGGATCATATGATAGATCTATGTTTACTTTTTGAAGAACTTCCATACTGTTCTCCATAGTGGTTATACTAACTTACATTCCTACCAACACTGTACAAAGGGTCCCTTTTCTCTATATATTTGTCAGCATTTGCTATTGCCTTTCTTTTGGAAAAAAGTCATTTTAACTGGGGTGAGATAATATCTCATTGTAGTTTTGATTTGTATTTCTCTGATGATCAGTGATGTTGAGCACCTTTTCATATACCTGTTTGACGTTTGTGTATCTTCTTTTGAGAAGTTGTCTATTCAGACGTTTTGCCCATTTTTTAATTGTATTATTAGATTTTTTTGCTAGTAAGTTGAGTTCCTTATGTATTCTGTTTATTAATTTCTTGTCAGATGGATAGTTTTCATATATTTTCTCCTATTCTGTTGGTTGTCCCTTCACTTTGTTGATTGTTTCCTTTGCTGTGCAGGTGTTTTTTAACTTGATGTGATTCTATTTGTTTATTTTTGCTTTGGTTTCCTTTGCTTGTGTGATATTACTCAAAAAAATCTTTTCTTAGACTAATGTTCTGGATAATTTCCCCCATGTTTTCTTT